AAATACAAAACGACAAGTAAACACAGACCTCCGTCCTGCTGTGCAGGTGTACTTCCTTCGCTCATGGTAAAAGGGCAAAGAAACAGAGAATAACAGTCCTCCACGAAGAACGGGAATATGCTTGTGTATTTGTTATTCGTCCTCTTCCCTCTCTTTAGAGCAAAGGTTTCTAGCTCCACCTCTCCAGGCTAGAGTCGCCAGTCACAGGTAAAAGGTAAAAGTCCTCGGCACTACAACTACAGACTAAAGGGGTCAATGTTTCGGCTGGCATGGTCAAGTTAACTCTTGCTAGTAGACACCCTAACTACACCATTCTGTAGGCAAAAACATTAATGGATGAAATAACACAAAATATAAACAAAACAAAAAACAAAAAATTAATTTAATGTGAAAAATAAAACAAAAGGAAAACAAAACAAAACAAATTAAATAAAAACCATTTAAAAAAGCAAAACAAATACACCACCACTAAACAAAACAAAAAAGCAAAACAAAAAAAACACTAAACAAAACAAAAAAGCAAAAACAAAGCATAGTTAAGCAAAACCCCCCCCCAAAAAAAAAAAAAACAAGCAAAGCAAACCATCTAGGTATTCTAAATATCAATTTAACATATTGTTTTATTAATACAAATATATATTTAGGAATAAAGTTCCTACATATAGCATGCAGCAAATGACTCTAACATGCACTCTTAAAGAGAAAGTGCTTTAAAGGGTTAAATCTTTGCCGTCATTTATCACTGTCCCTTTCAAGGTATTGTTTAAAAAAAGTTATATTAAAACATCAATCAAAAACATGAAATATGTATATTTATGCGTTTAGCAGACGCTTATATCCTAAGGGACTTGCATTCACAGTACACGTATACATTTGATCGGTTCTTGTATTCCCTGGGAATAGAACCCATGACCTTGTGTTGTGAGCGCCATGCTATGCTTTTTGAGCTATAGGAAAGGATAATATCAGTAGATGAATAATCTAATCTTGGCAATGCCAATTTAAAAAAAAAAAAAAAACTGCAAAAAAAAAAAAAAAAGTTGTTTTAAATATTACCTAATATACCCAAGCCATAGATTTTTGTCATTGTATGACATTTCTGAAGAAGCGTACAGTTCTGTTACCTTTATAACACACTATTTACTCCTGTGTTTTTAAGTAGTCTGCAGGCAGCAGAACTGAGAATGGCCATTGAGTTTAAACATTCAGATCACTATTCAAGTCACACATTTTCCACACATTTCTCCGATGTTGTCTTTCATGGAAACAGCAGCACTATTATTTGTACAAGCCACACCAGAGAAACACAATGAAGAGATAAAATTGAGTCCAAGCACCTGGATGTAGCGTAATGGAGGAACACGCTGACCTGCTCTGCTCAACCTGACCAAAAACAGGCCTTATTAATCAATCCAGATCCACGAGTGGCTCATCCTAACATTCCCAATAGCCGAGGACCCTCACGCTCCACCTGAGGATCAGAAAACTGATCTACCAAACATTGGATTACAGTCGAATTGTTGTTAATATGGGATATCAGATGCACAAACACGGGGCGGTTTAATGGTTCTTGTTTCTACATCATGTGTCACTCTTGTATTAGCTCACAGTTCGCATCCTCCCCTCGCCCGGATCGCAGCTGTTTTCACTCCATGAACAGGCTAACTCACATAATCAGCGAGTGCTTGCTGGAAGTAATTACGGCGCGCGTAAGCCTTCGCTGCTCTATAATCAGCGTCAAAGTGGGTCTCCGTGTGTAAATGAGTGTGTACGTGGTTGGTGACATGCTCAAAACAGAAATGTCTGATTTCCCAATTGGAATAACTCTTGCATTTTATTTGACATTAACTGCAGTCGCATCATGAAAACAAGAATTTGCTTGGATTTTAGAGAAGAAAAAAAAGAAGAAGAAGAAAAAGAGTTCAATGCTACGTAGACATGCTAATGCTCATTATGCAAAGCTTCGTTGCCAGTTCATTACAGAAAAAAAAAAGATAATGACAAAAATAGGGACAGGAATCATTAAAATTAATGATTATGTTCACTTAATGAATTGTTTATATTATATTAAAGCCCCCTTGTGGTAAAAATCAAGCTTTTAAATGTTCTTTATATGTCTATGTGGTGTTTTTAATATGGTTTAAGAAAACCCATGTACAAAATGCACGAGTCAACACCATTGGGGAGTATTTTCTCCTTAAAACTGCAGTGAACCAAAGACAGTCTCAAAAACACGGTTTGAAATCGCTGGTGTTTCTGACGTCACAAACTACCTTGTAACCAATCAGGTCAACGAGTGGATCTCTGAGCTGGTGCGAGTGAGTGGAGGCGGGGCTCATTTGCATATTCATAGAACAGTGTATACATTGTTACATTCGAGCTATTTTAAGGCATGAAGAATTTGGTTTCAATGAAAAAACATTTAAATATATAATTTTGGTGATCAAATATGACTTTTAAGGGATAATATTGACTACAGGGGGACTTGCGTTTTTACTTAATGTCAAATAAAAAAACAGTCTTATTTCAACCACTGATTTCACTCACAATTTATTGTTAAATCAGTGTAAATTTAAGCTAAATGCATTTATTAGGGATTACTAAAACAAAAGTCTCACCATTAAAAGCCATGACCCAAGCACACAATTATAATGTTCTCATTATAACTTTATGTACCCTATATGACAGCCTTGCACTACACGTTGCACTTAACTGTATTTTCCTTTTTTGAAGTGATTTCAATCATATTTCAAGGAATTCAAAACCATTATGGATTACAGTGCGCATGTGAAATGTCTCAGCTGAAGGAAAAAATCCATTATTTATCGGCTTTAGTATATCAGCCAATAACAATAACATTAAAAATGAACATATATCAGCAGATACTGATATGGTGGCCGATATATCATGAATCCCATTCCCTAGCATTTATATAAGTTGGTCTTCACTGGTCATGTTGTATGTGCTTGATTTACTAAAAAAATATCTCAAGAGTAATTTATTTAGAAATCATCTAGACAACAGTTTACGGTACGCTTTTGATTCAAAAATGGAATTGCAAGAATAACGAATTCTTTCAGATGGGCTTCCTAAACTTACACCCCGTTTCCCATAGTTTAGTCAGACAAACAGCCTCGCTTCAATCTCGGGTTGAGCCAACGCCGCTGCATAGGGCTGGTTCAGCTGCTCTATAGATAAGGCATTAGCCATTAAAACACCATTTCGGTCAACTACTGATGCTAATATTTAAAAAACAACAACAACACTACTCATACATCCTATTAAAATCATTAGCCTGTCTTATAATAAGCCTTGTAGTACTACAAAGAGCATAGAGGACTATTAGCTCTTTGCTTTGATGTGGAGTGCTGTGCTGGCTTTGAAGCCCGTTTTAGGAGAGACTCAAGCAGACTAATTGATGACTAATGACTCGGGTCACCTCGGATGCAAAAAACCCTGAGCGTGGGAGGAACCTGATCCAATTCTACATCAGAGAGCCTCCCGAGTAACAGGATCGATTTCTGATTTACGATATGGTTTGGTGTTGGCGGGGGCGTGGAAAGATGCTAATGTCGCATCCGTCTGCGGCAAGCGAAGACAACAAGCGTGAACGAATGAATGAAGTACAAAAAAAAAAAAGAGGGACGGCTAGAAAGGTAAGAGGATGAATGGGTTGTAACGGCAAAAGGAGGATGGGATGGGTGTTGAAAAAAGGGGGATGGGCAAAAAAAAAAAAAAAAAAAAAGACACCCACACTTTTACATCAGACTGACGCACAAGCACAGACAGAGATCAGACACAAAAGGCCACATCCCCCCTCCCCCTTTCTGTTTCTTTCTCTCTCGTTTCAGATCCCGAAGAGCATGGGCGGTCTGCTGTTCTGCTGACGTGGACCCCCAGTGCCAGCCTTCCAGAGCAAACATCAACAAACACGTAGAGGACGAGAAAAACACACACGCACCGAGCCAAGAATAACTCCAAACAAACAGGCAGTTCTGTTCTGAGAATAAACAGCCGTTAAATCTTCTCCCTCAGACACAAACACAACCGACAAGTTTAAAGTTTAAATTTTGTGGATTGGCAACGAAAGCCGACAACACAGAGATCCGCTCACGGCAAACACAAACCTTTTGCGGATATCTGGATGTTCGGTAAATGATCCAAACGCTCAACTGAAATCCAATAAGATGAATAGGAACACTAGGCTTCAACCTGACAGGGTTCGACATCTCGATAATCTCATCCTCAGTTGATATCCGGAGTCCAGACAGACGGTCCCAATGCAGCTCTCCGTTTCTTAGTTCTAGTTTCTGAACTTGAGAGATACATCTCTAACAGTTAGTCGGCTCTTCAATCCTGAATTCAAGACAATGCAGTGGTCTCATTGTGTCACGGTAATGAAAGAAGAGCACATGCAAACAGTCAAACGTACATAGAGCTGAGTAGTACTGATGATAGAAGCTTGAGGAACTTCGAAAATCTCTACTGGAGGTCGCTCAGTCGCTGTACTGTACGTTGCGACCTTCTCAAATTTAACCGTATCATCAAGAAGCAGATCACGTGAGCTTCATGGTCATGGTTTCATAAAGATCTACACAAAACTCTAAATCATAAATGAACCCTCCCGTCACCTCAAGTTAGAGAATGAATGCCTTCCAGTCGCTTTGTCAGTGCAAATGGATATTTAACTTTGTGCTCCTGGATCCAGGGAAGACTTTGCTCTTCTGGGCAACACCGTTTTCAACTAAAAACATAAAAGTTTTTATTCGTTTTGGTCATCCGTTTACACGACAACTAATTAGGTGCCTGAAAACGCAAACTTTTCAAAAAGATTTCAAAGTGCAAGTTTTTATGGTCTCCGTGTAAACAACAAAAACGTTTTGACAATGGTGTCGTCCGTAAGTGGAAAACGTAAAGGAAAAACTTCTCAGTTTTAAGCATATCGTTGTTGTGTAAACGTACCCTTAAGTTGCAGCTAATCCAACCCAATGTGTCTCACTCTCCGGGTCTAATTACACTGGCCCCGGAAATGATCAAATCAAACACAGTTCCACCAACCCGTCGTCTAGGCTAATTGCTAATTACAAAACGTTAACCCATGCAGCTCTATACTGGCATTGCTGATTATCTGTTGTCTGATTAGTTCCAACTAATTTACTTTCTTTCTTTCTTTAGGTGTAATGGAGGCTCTATCCTCTTAGCACTTTGTCACCGGTTGAGAGGGTCCTACAGCGTTCCATTAGCGGATTACAGAGTCACTAGCGTTGGCTGACAGCATTCGGGGAAGGTGACATGCAGGTCGGGTGAACAGATAGAAGGATTACCAAAGTACAAGTTATACTTCGACGGTTATAATTTAATGACCAACCCCCTCCTGTGCAATATGGAGAAATTTAACAAGGAGTCCCTTTGTTGAATGCTAAATGTTTTATTTGCATCCTTCACAGCTGTGTAACAATCATCCGTCACGCCCCGACGGACTGAGTGACGTCCGTCTACACGCACACAGGGAGGAAAAGACCACAGCAATGGTTATGGAACAGAAGAAACTCGATTTGGCGAGCCTCCCACTGTCTCCTCTCGTGATGCTTCAAAGAATAACGCAATAGAGAAAGAAAGGTTGGGGGAAGTCATGCTTACTGGGATAATATGCTTTCGTCCTCACTCCTTGGACAGTATTCAATGGGGTATGATAAATCCCTCGTCTAAATTGGAAAGCCCACACAGATTTATCAGTGCATGGAATCTGTTTTTACCGCCCCAAGAGATATGCAAAGACAACATGGCATGCAATGGCGTGCATGCAAGTGGGATATAAAATAAGAGTATTGATTAAGCTTGTTGAACCCTGCACCCATCTAATTGTTGAAGCATTGTCATCAAATAAACCAAAACATACTTGGATCTTTCTCCGAACCATCTCTTATCCTCTCTTTTCTCTCTCTCTCTATCCATCCCTAAAGGCTTGAGCAAAGTGGGATGAGTCATCGACTCATTCATTCCAAAACCTATGGACTGCAGATGCAGTGAATGAAGCGCGTACGGGAGAAGCGGAAAGAGAGCGAATTCATCAAATTAATATATATTGCGACATATCTTTCTGCAGAGACCCCACGTATACAAAATACAAATTCATTCATTCATGAATCCCGAGCAGAACGTTTCAAAATGTTCATAAAACCATTGTTGCGTATTAAATAGTCTCATTCAATCTACTGCATGAATGATTTAAAATCAGTTTATAAAAAGATTTGTTTTTGCGCTCCATGAATGAGGCCCACTGAACACATTATATGTTGATATTGACCAATAATAGTTTAAAGTTACAATGAAATTTAAGAAGTTGTGGATGATATTTTCTTCCCTATGAGTGAAAGATTATCGAAAAAAGAATTATCGAAAGAAGAAGAAAAGCAGGATGGGACTTGGTCCTATCCATTGTTTGTTGATGGGATTTTGAGAAAAATGAATGTGAGCTTCTAGTGGATTGTGGAGGGGAGGGGTTTGAGCCTAATTTAAAGCATGACATGCTATGAAAACTGGTCTCATCTATTTTCTAAATGCCTTCGTAATTATTAAAAGGGTTTTGAAATATAAGGGGTCTTTGTGACATTAAAACATCCCGCAAGTTTCATAGCTTAAAATGTCCTCCTCATTATAAACAAAGCATTTATTTAATAGTGAACAAACATGGTGTTTGCCTGTTGTTTTTTGGAAAACATTTTTATTACACGGCTCTCTAGGGTACTTGATTCTGATTGGTCAATTGCGGTATCCTGTGTGGTGAAATATTTTTCCATGATTGCCATTTAACTATAATTGTCCGCTGTTCCAGGCTACTAATTTTCTGCTGTGAGAGATTCAGTTGTGGTATCACTGCGTGATCCTTTAAAATTTCAATTAATAAAATAATTTGAACTCAAATCAATTCAAATGCAGGTATTTTATTCATGGATGCATCCCTAGTGCTTAACCTTCTCTGTGTGAAAAGCACATTCAGACCAACATGCTCTTTGATGTCGACCTGAAGGTAAACTATCATTTTGTTTAGTCTCAAATAAGGGTGAAACAAAGATTAACATGAAACTTTGATGTTAACCTAAAGCAAACTATAGTTCAGTTTAGTTTCAAATGAGTGATTTGCCTTTTTATGTATCGTGGGAGAGAGAAGAGCTCTACTCTGCACATGGTGACATTAGTAAGGGCTTCTCTTGGATGGGTGAATGGATCGGGTCACAGTACTGAGAGCTCACCGCTGGCTTCAGTCGCAATCAAGAGTTGCTTCGCTGAGTAACTCCTTATAAATACACCCACAGAAAATGTCCACTCGCAGGGAATGTTCCCACCCACACACATACACAAATGCACTATAATGCCTCCCAAAAAACATAACCCAGCGGATGTCTGTGCCAGTGCACATTCCAGACAGCAGACACAACCATAAACACGAATGCTTTACCACACAGTCTGTTTGAATGTTCAGTCTTACTGTAGTCATTTAAGCTGTTAAAAATTATAGTCTTATGGCGCTTTTCCACTACACAGTACCAGCTCGCCTCGGCCTGGCTCGACTCACCTTTGTTTGGTTTTCCACTGTGTAAAAGTTGTACCTGTACCTGCTTTCGGGTACTTTTTTTCGTACCACCTCCGGCGAGGTTCTAAGCGAGCTGAGGCGAGCTAAGCCGATACTAAAATGTGACGTGAAAACAATGCCGACTGCTGATTGGTCACAGAGAATCTGCGTCATCATTGCACGCGCCAGATGGAGTATCCAGAATAACCCCGCCATTTTTAAATAGTTTGGCCAGAGATAGTTACTAAACTTACTACTATTATTATGGCAACTCAGAAGAATACGCCGTGGTCAAACGAGGAGGTGCAGACATTCCTTTGTTTGGTTGCCGAAGAGAGGATCCAGCGAGAGCTTGATGGGGGAACGAAATGCGTCGCTATGACGACCGGGTACTATTTGTGGCGGTACTTTCTGCAATGGAAAACGGAGCGAAAAGCGAGCCGAGTCGAGGCGAGCCAAGGCGAATCGAGTCGAGTCGAGCTGGTACTGGTAATGGAAAAGCGCCAATATTGACCTTACAACCTTTAAAGGGGTCCCATTATGCCCTTTTACGAAGTCTTGGTTTTGTTTTTGGGGTGTACTAGCATGTTTTCATCATGCTTAAAGGGATAGTTCACCCCAAAATGAAAATTCTGTCAGTAATTACTCAGCCTCATATTGTTCCAACCCCGTAAGACTTTCGTTCATCTTCGCGACACAGATTAAGATATTTTTGATTAAATCTGAGAGCTGCATCACTCCTCCATAGGCTTCTAGGGGATCGAAAATTGCCGGCCCAGAAAAGTTAAAGACATCGTTCAAATAGTCCGAGTGACTACAGTGGCTCAATCTTTAAGTTTATCAAGCGACGAGAATACTTTTTGTGCAAAAAAACAAACAAAAATAACGACTTTATTCAAGTATTAATTTCCTTCTCTGTGGGCCTTGAGATTTCACGTAGTGTAACAGCGCAGCGCTTCTGTGTTGTACGTCACATTTCTTTAAAAAATATGATACCAATCGCAAAAACCATGGTATTAACAAGCCACAGTTTAAGAAAACCTACAAAGGTAGGTTTTATAATTGTTCATATAGCTTGGAGAGCAAATATTTTCAAAGAAACCGGTTGATTAATAGAGAAGTGTCAGCATCTAGGACAAATAAGTTGGCGGTCTCTTGCTCAGTCTTCTACAAACCAAAATCTGAGCTGCTTTGCCCTGTATCTGACGTCAACGCAGCAGCTTCTACGATGGCTACTCTGATCGGCCAAAACATTGCAAGCAAAAAACGACAACAAAAAACATACTAAAAAGGCAGGTGATGCACAAGTATACAGTGAGTCAAGTGTGTGATGTCACCTGGAGTATGTGATCAGGCCGTGACTGTCTGCACACTTAGATGTCTGAATGTCAGAGTGGGAATACATGAAGTGCCAGATGTGGCCCATCGCAAACAATGTCAACGCAAGAGCAAGTACTCATGGCGAGCAGAAGAGGATGAAAGAACATTGAAGTCGTCGAGGGAACAAAGTCAACTCACCCCTACAATATTGTTCGAGTGTTGATAGAGGGTCTTGCTCTATGGTTACTAAGATGTTCCGTTTACTGGCAAGAGCCAAAAGAGTCCAACTTGATATTCTGCAGCCGGTTGCACAAAACCACTTAAGCTGTGAAAACCCTTAGTGATCAGCTAAAAAAAAAAAAAAAATTGTTCATAAAAATGTTTGAGTGGTTTTGTGGACCTAGGTCCTGGTGCTTAGATACGGCTCAGGGCAAGTCTATAGAAGTCTATATCTTCAGTGTAAGTCTATAGGAAATCTTTTCCAGACTATTTTTTTTTATAAAAACCTAACTCAGAAATGTGAACAGAGTAGAAAAGAACCCAGTTATTTTGTGGCCATCCCAATCGCTCTGAGGAAGAAAGACGTTTTGCACAATATTTATGGCTCAAATCCATGAACATGCATACACATATTATAATGCCAAATTAAAGGAAACAATATAAGGAAGTCACACTCAGAATAACCGCCTACGTTAATTTTGAAGATTTATACTTCTAAAAGGCAAACCCCTCTGATTTCCCCGAAACAAAATGAGAAAGTCACGTGTGCGCTGATGCACGCCAGTTCTTCAAGACAATCATAAAGGTTTACTTCAATAAGCAAATTGTCAAAGGCAATCTGAGACTTGCTTCAAGTTGCCCACATTTGGCTGCTTAGAAAAGACCATTGAAAAGGAAAGAGGTGGTGAAGGAAACAACTATTACAAGACTATTGTCCATAGTCCAGCTAGTTAGACAGCAGAGGAACGTTAGTAACGTGGAACTCTTGGCCAACATCCTACTCGAGTAATGAAAACACAAACAAGAGCACGCAAATCAACGTGAGCGTATTTACAGGCTGACCATCAATGACCACATCTAGGGCGAACGTCAAAGATGCGTCAACGGCAGGATGTTAAAAGGCTGTGTTATGTTTCCCCCCTCTGATGTAATTCTCCTCAAACACAGCCAACCCCCGGCAGTCTGGGATGCCTTAAATTAAGTTCTCTCTTCCCCTCACAAGGCTGCTTCTTCAAATTAAACAGACAGTAATGAAGCTCCATAGTGTGCATATGGTATTCATGTACTTCCAGCTACTGAAAACACATGAATGAATTCAGAAATAGAACAAACAACCATCTGTACCGAAAAAGAAATCAGGAAGAGAGGGACAAACCAGTTCCCTCTGGTTTATCCTGCGGATTTTAGCATTACCTCCGGCTCACTCTAAGGTTAGGGGTTAAAAACACACACACACACGCTCTTCCCTCGGCTCCCGCAACGGTGAGTCATCACTCCATTCACGTCACTGACAGACAACAGCTCCCAGTGACAGACCAGTGCGCTCGCCGGCACGTTACTCTTCCTCATCAACTCCTTCCTCTCAGAGAGAGGTGAAGCTCGCATCTAAATTTAGCAACTCTTGCCCCCCTTTTTGAAAGAGAAGGGCTTCTTTGTCCCACAAAGACCTCGGCACGTGTCAACAGGAAGACGCACATTCAAAATGCCTAAATCACTGCTATGGCTTATCAGTGACGCTTGGCTTCTTTCAAAAACAATGTTTAGTTCAATAAAGCAAAAAGACACCGTGCATTACAGTGAGAACATTTAGTGACTCCTTCAGCAGATGACATAAGACATTTTTATAGGCTATACTTATCACACCTTTCCGTGCAATTACAATTATTGGTGATTGGTGCCTTTAAACCTCAAAAAGCAATATAAAAAAAAAAAAAAAAAAAATTGTTTATGAAGCAGACATGAGCGACATCTCAGTCCCAATTCACTGCTTAGAAAAGAGAGATTGTTC